GAGGCTTGAGTTTATGTGTGCTTCTATAGGGCTGTTGGTTCCTTCATGGGGTTCGGACATGGGACATGGGTCTGGGGTTTGTGCCTAGCGAAAGGGCCTTGTGTGCTTTTACACAGTTCAGGATGGAAGGTGTCAGGCCTTGGAGCTTTGAGTTTCCAGAGGCCTTGTGTATAGTAAAGGGTTTGGGGTTCATAATTCATAAGTGTTTATAGGTTTAGGGTTTACAGGATCTAGAGGCTTTCTAGGGTTATAGGGCTTATAGAGGGTGTTTTGGGTTAAAGGGCTACTGGGCAGCCTGGGCAGGCAGTCGAAATGGTCATGCGCCCTGGTTCTCACTCTGTCCCCTAAAGCCTAAACCCTAAACCTTAATTTTTATAAATCCTAAACCCTAAACCCTATAAGCCCTAAACCCTATCAAACCTCCACCCTATAAACCCTATAGACCCTAAACCCTAAACCCTGTAAACCCAAAACCCTAGAAACCCTACACCCTATATAAACCCTATAAACCCTTTAAACCCTATAATCCCTAAACCCTATAAACCCTATAAACCCTATAAACCCTATAAACCCTATAAACCCTTTAAACCCTATAAACCCTATAAACCCTATAAACCCTATAACCCTATATAAGCCCTATAAACATCTCTGTTCGCGGGATTTGGGGTTGGGATTTCGGAGGTGCTGCTCTTCCTCTGTAGTGTAATCCCCTACAACGAAAAACAGGAACTCTACACAGGAGCCTTTGAGACCCTTTACACCCCATACAAAGTCTTCCAGCCCTGCAACCCTGCAACCAATGAAGTGCCAATCCATTGGATGTTTCGGCCTGAAACATGTATGTAGGTTTGCGCAGCGCAGTTATGTATGTTAGGATGGTTTTATATGTTAGTTTTTATAGGGCTTATACAGGGTGTACTGTTTAAGGGTTCGTAAGGGTCTTTCTTGTATAAATATAAGGTGGTTTGTGGCTGAATGTGTATCATATTCCTAAAGGGTGATGCCTCTATATAAACCCTGAACCCTGTGTGTAAATAACCCTATATATGATGTAAACCCGAAACCCTATACGAAGCACCGCCCAGGTGAACTGAACAAGCTCTATTCCCAGATGACCGCCCTCGAGGTGACCCCTGCTGGGAACATGCCAGGGCCCCCAGACGTCATCACGTCGCAACGTTCTCCTCCGGCGTAGCGTGTGCAGGGTACTTATGTGCTGCGTGTGCTTTACATTTGTATAAATACCTGCTAGCTTTCGTGAAATAAGGAAGGCATCCTATGCCACTATCTGCGAAAACATCCGTGCCCAGTCCCTTGGCGAGCATCATAGACTGGTGGAATGGGCCGGGGTCGGACGTCTCTATCTGAGGGCGATCACTTTCAACAACAAGTACTCGATGGTCAAGAGACCTGCCTGTAATTATGTGTGCAGGTGCATGTGTGTCGTACCGTGTTTGTCAGACCTCTGTCAACAAAAAAATCAGATCATGAAGTGTATATAGTGCCCCCCCTCCCACCTGCCCAGGACCCACTTTCAGAAGGCTGTGCCGAAAGCGAAAGCCAAGAGCAAAGCAGCAGCCAAACCTGAGTGAGTGTATATACATATATGCACTCTGGATGAAATCCGCTGGGGGTGTATTGCACATGTGCAGTGTAAGGGTGCGCTTGAGTGTTTAGGGTTTAGGGTTTAGGGTTTCGATGTGGTGTTATTATAGGGTCGATTTAGGGATAGGGTTTTCTGGGGCTAGAGGGTGTATACATACAGGGTTGCGCAGAGCTGCTTAGCATCACATGTGCTTTCAAACAGCGGTCTCCTCCTCAGCATCTTCGACCATGATCTGACGTGTTCCCCTGAGCGGGAATGTGAAAGATGTGATCCGGGGCTGCAAGCCCTGACAGTGCAAAAAGTAAAACCCTAAACCCTTCCAACCCTGTGCATAGCCCTAGATATAGCCTGGCTTAGAGGACTTCTGTGTGCGAGGTTTATTGGGTTCACAGGTGTAAAAGGGATCTTCTTAACCGACGTCCGGGCATAAACTGTGCTGCAGCCCAGGGTCGCCCTTGAAGGCCATGGATGGTATATATTCCCTGTGTATCCCGAACCCTAAACCCTAAAACCTCTTATAAACCCTATATATAAATCAATAAATAAAAAAAATATATATATATATAAACCCTAAACCCCATAAACCCTATATAAACCCCGAACCCTAAACCCGAACTAAAGCCAAAACAAGCCTATGTGAGCTGATGTGGTCGAAATGGCTTTGCTGCGCTGATCGGCAAAAACCGGCTACTTTTGTGCAAGCTCTGATGAGCTAATTCGATTGGGGTCAGTGAATGGCCTGTGAAGCTTGGCTGAGTGTTTTTTGGATGCTGAGCCATGTGTGCCCTGATGAGCTTCGGTGGTGAACCTACATATAGAGGGGGTGCTTACTACACGCTATCTGACCCTTGACCATGGAGCTCGGGGGATGGCAGCGTCACTGATCCAAGGGTGGGCGTCGTGGAGCGATTGCATGTGCTGTGTAAGATGTACATAAGTAACTGAGGAGTCATCGCCCATGTCAGTATGTGTGTGTATATGTGTGCAACGCGTCAGTTCCAGCGCCAGTTCGAGCTGTGCGTGTGTGGGGTGAAGAAAAGAGAGAACAATAATTGCGTGGAGCTCTCTGCGTCCATATGTACTTCATCCCCTATGTATAACCCACGCAAGCCTTATATGGCCTGAAACCCTGAACACCCTTTCTATCAACCAAAGCCATGTGCTAGCCCTATAAACCCTATACAAACAATATATATATATATATATATAAACCCTAAACCCTAAAGACCCTATAAACCCTAAACCGTAAACCCTACAACTCATTGCCTCGACAGGTGCCATTCTGGCAAAGCATCAGCCACTGGATCCGGATGGAGATTGCCTGGGGCCAGTGCTGGACACATTTGCTGCCCCTTGGGTTTTTAAAGAGTGGAGTTTGGGGGTTTGTATAGGGTCTCTGTAAACGGAGTGTTCGGGTTTGTCTGGTGTTTCTGGGAGGGCTGTTTATTGGACTTTGGGGGTGTAGGGGGAGGGGGGTTGGGGGAGGTGGGTCTATAGGCTTTCTAAATAGGGTTGAAGGGCAACATTGAGGGTCTAGGGGTTACACATCTACTGTCTACATAATGAGTGTGCCAAAATAAGAAAAGTGAAACAAACTATATGCTCGCAAAGTAATGCGCCTACGTCGTTTCATGCTCTGCAAATTCCGAATGCTATGACCCAGAACATTGCCTTTATATCGTTCAGGTTAGCCTCTGCAGAAAGCATGTCAGTACCACAACACCCGCCCCCCCCCCCCCCCCCCCCCCCCCGCTTCCCCTGGAGTATCCCAAAGTGCAAAGCTTTGTATGTCCATCCGAAACAAAGAACGTTATGCAGGAGACCACTGCATCAAAGGCGGCTACTCTAGCAGCTGGAGCAGGCAAATCTATGCTGCTGGCCCACAATGATGAAGGGGTGATTCTTCAAATGCTGGGCCAAGGCCACATGGCTGAGTTTGGGCAACTACCGAAGAATTTGAACAATGTCGCCAGAAACCTTGGAGTGCGCCTGCGGAGACTGGGGTTCATGCTGAAGGTTCCGATTGCGCATGTGCAGGCCAACTCCTGCTGCAGCACATCTTTGTGGCTCCCTATAACTCCGATGAACCCTATATAAACCCTGTATACACCCGAAACCCGATATATGTGTAGGAGGCAGTAAGTATCCTGAAGGTTCTCTCTCCTACGAGAAACCTACAAGGGTTGAGGGTATTCAGGGTTCCTGGGCTAGCTTCTTCGCTGTTGGGGGATTGTAATTATGAACAGTAGCATGGGTGGCTGATCCCTATAGCCATTTTTTGGTTGTATAAATCAAACACAGGACGGCAACAATGACCCTGACAGGTTCAGTATGCTCTGGGGTTTGGTTGTGGCAATCATCCCTACCTCAAGGTGACAGACTTTGCGAACCTTCTGTTGAGTAGAAAGGACTGGAGGAGCAAACTTTTGCCTGATGATCCACATGTGGAACTGCTGTCTTTTTGGCGGAAATACGAAACCATAGCGCCGCAGCACCAAGTCTTCAGAAGCCACGGTGACAAATTGCACCGATGCGTACCGATTCACTTACATGGTGATGAAGGGACATCATTTGGAAAGAAAGGTTTGTTTCAGTTTTCGTGGTCGCCCCTGCTGTCGGCCGGCGCATGTGGATTGAACCGCTACTTTATGATCACACAAATTCTTCATAAGTATTACGCGAAGCTTGCAAAGGGGAACTTTAAGGGCAACCCAGCGCTGGATACACTGATGCGGGCTGGTGTCCAGTCATGCCTTGAGGCATTCACTAGTGGAGTTGGCTCTGGTGATGATACTTGGTACCTGGTGACGCTCGGGTTAACCGGTGATCATGTATTTCATTCGTGCCTTGCCCGCACGTACTGTGATTCCATTGCTGTTTCTTTATAGTAGCTGGGTTAGCTGTGCATACTGTTTTCACGCAATCATAGATTTAGGTCGTTGTTTTTTCGCTCTGACTTTGTGCAATATGCCCTGCTGTGGCTACATAATGATAGGGGTCTAGAAGGTTTATATAGGGTTTCTGTATAGGGTTTATCGGTTTTGTAGGTTTTATAGGTTTTATAGGTTTATAGGGTTCATAGGCTTTATAAATAGGGTTTACAAGCCGAACTGCACTACTGGAGCCATGTATATGATGCTTATATATACCCAGTGTGCATCCCTGACAACACTGCAGGGCTCCTTGTGAAGCAGGTGCATGTCAGGAGGACCTGTGGTCACATGGGGCATGTGTGGTGGGTAGACTCTATATACGCAGGGGAAGGCCTTTTCAGGGTATTGTATGATTTTCATCGATGCTTCTATGCAGGTAGATATCATCTTTTGGATATACTATAACCCTATGTTGGGAACATCGATGACACTGAGCCACAATTTGCTTACTAAGGAAAGCCATGCACCTTGTGAGGAATCACTTGAGACCGGATGTCTGCCCGCATTGTGAGGCGAACACTTCCTCCATTCCGTTCGAAGATGTTTCTGCAAATGCAAAATGGCTTGGCACGATCGGAGCTTCGAAGCCTTGGGTCGAACCGCATGTGTTTGAAATGCTCCCAGGCGGGGCTGACCCCAGCTTCATCAAGCTGGACACTTTCCACCTTGGCCCTTTGGGTGCTGGATACTATTTGGCCCCATCTGTGCTATGTGTTTTGGTTGCTTATTTCAAGCACTTCACCCCACTTGATGGGAAAACTGATGTGGAAAGCCGACTTGCTGTCGCGCACAACAGTTTCATGTCGTATTGCAAGGCCACATCCCGTACACCGAGGGACCTGAAACAGTTCACAAAGAGCAACTTGCACTGGCCCTCGCAGGCTTCGTATCCCATGCTTTCATGTAAGGCAGGGGATACAATCATGCTGCTGCAGTGGCTCCAGGATTATCTAACAAGTGTGCCACTCGATCTCTCCGATGACCTTCTCCGCTACAGCCTTGAGGCGATCTCAGCGTTCAACGCTTTCTGGCATCTCTTGTATAAAGCTGAGAGTCGCATTTGGTGGAGTCAGAGCGAAGCGGCTACTGGTCTGATCGCGTTAACTGGCTTTTTGCGCTCTTATCAGGCCGCTGCCAAAGAAAGCTTAGCACGGCGGCTGGGCCTGTGTAAGTAGCAGTTTGTGTGCTCTTTGGGGTGCCCCTGTGTTTAGCATAACACACCTGGCTTACACATATAGGGTGAACGTTTGGGGACAGGTCTTCAAAAAGGTGTCTTCCTTCTGTTAGGGTGCTATTATGCAATGTACTATTTGCGTTACAATAGTGGACAAAAACGCAAGGCTAACTTTTTACATTTCTCTATATACCCCCTACCCAGCACCCGCCCCACCCCCGCCCCGGCTGGTGACAGGCGCCTGAGCTTCTTCAACATCGTGCCAAAGGTCCACTTCCTGGCGCATGTGGCTGTTGAGCTTCATCAAGCTTTGGAGCGGGGCTCATCTATATTGAACCCCTCTGTGTGGTCTACACAGATGGCCGAAGATTATGTGGGAGCTCTTTGTAAGATGTCGCTGAATGTTCATCCGGCAAATGTTGCCAAACGCAACCTGGAGAAGTATCTTGTACGGGCCCGGAGAGAGTGGCTCAAAGAATCTGCACGGAATGAGAAAAGGCTGCTTCGGGACAGCTGAAATTAAGAAAATTAGGCAGCCCATGTTTGGGCCCTCGACCACAAGACTTTGTGATCGTGTATAGATAGATGGGTGCTGTGGGTTCAAGCTGTTCGAGAAGTTCGAGGGCTCTTTCGGCTGGATGCTCTGCTACGAATGTGCAAACTCACCGTGGAACCAGCAAAAAAGGCCTTCACCCGATAAGTATAAAAAGCCCGTCGCCCGATAAAGTATAAGACCTTTCGGACAAACTCCTCCCCCCCCCCCCCCCCCCCCCCCCCCAACCATGGGTGTCCTGCCTCCACATCCTTCTCATCACTGGCCGTCGCGAGGCATGGAGCCAAGGGCATACAGGGTGTGAGGATTTCAATCTTCGAAGTCTTGACTCAGAAGCTTCGAAACGTTTAGGTCGGGTAAAGATGTGGTAGTGGGAGTAATTTCAAGGCTTCATGAGAGATAGGTGGTTATAGATCTGTGGTGGGCTGTTTGCCCATACTTCAGTGGCTTCTGAGTGTGAGCCGACTCTTCATGCATGGCCCCCCTAAATGCCCTAATTTCTATGTATAATAATTTTTGGTCTGACCTAAAATTCTTGGACGCTCCTCCGGGAGACCCAAAAGGAACTACAAAGGAGCCTTGGGGTAGAGTTGAGGGCTGAGAGGTTTTCAGGCTTGGGGCTTACAGTTTGTAGATGGCAGGGTCTATAGGCTTTGTGGGGGTTACGGCCTAAGGGGTACATGAGGCATAAGGCTGGGACATCAAACCGATTCTGCCTTTGAGAAGGTGCGAATGCGTGTAGACCCTGAACTCCAAACACTTACTCTCTGGACATCCCCAGTTCTACGGGGGCTCCCGGTGTAGAGGGCACAGCCCATGTCCGATTTTTGGAGAGCAAGGCTTGTGGCCCGCCATGTAGGGCTTGAGGTCGGTTCATAGGGTTTGGGGAATGTATGTAGGGGCTGAAAACACGGTTTTGGGCTTTCCCAGCCCCATCGCAACCCTAGGACCCTATTATAGCCACCAAACCCGGTTTGACAGGTGCGGAGGAACCTGCGGGAATGGAGATCGGTTCCGGCGCGAGTTCTCATTTTCAAGGGACTGAACCCAACACCCTTCAGGGTTTAGGATTTATACACTTGGAAAAACCTTGAACCCTGGTCTTAAACCCTTGAACCTGAATCCCCAAACCCTAACCTTGGCCACGTGCCTGGTCGAATACAGACGACATGGGCTGCTTTCCGCGAAGCACGCGAGGGTTACAGGCCAAGTTGAGTTGGCAGCTGACTTCTTGAGCCACGGATGCAGGTTGAAGGGTCTAGGACAAACCCATAAACCCCAAACTGGAACACCCTAAAAACCCATTATACCTAAAACTGCCTAAAAACCGTTTTGGGCTTTCAGAGGGCTGGGTAATTAAGGGGTTTAGGGAGCCTGGGGCCCAAAGGTATACACCCGCAGGCTTTTGAATGATAAATGCCCTGAACGAACGGCCTTCTTGACGCAAATCGGAGCCAGCCAAACCCGATTCACCCATCGAATGACTGCGGGTTCAGACTCGTATCCGAGCTTTTAATTTAGTTTCCCAGCGCATCGAGATCTCCGGGTCTCGAATCGTAACCGGACAAAGCGTTTCCGACAGTTCAGAAGGGTCTAGGACAAAGCCTTAAACCCCAAAGTGGAAAACCCCAAAACCCTTAACCCTAAAACCGTTTTGGGTTTTGTCAGGGGTGATCCAAGAGGGCCGTCTGGCGGAGCCCAAACACCCCCGCATCCTAGAGGTGTACAGGTTTAGGGTTTAGGGTTTAGGGTTTAGGGCTATATGAGCGACTGCCAAAACCGGCTCGAGGTGCTAATGGACGCAACATGAGGGGTGTCGCTTTTCAAGCGTTCCCACTGTTTTACAGGGTTTTAGCATCAACTATGCACGCTTGATGTTTCTAGGTGTCGCTGTGGGAAAAAACAAGGCTATAACACACCCAACGGTTCATTAACTTAGGGGTGTCGCTTTTCAAGTGTTCCCATCGTTTTACCGGGTTTCGGGCATTCGTGTCCACCCCTTACTTAATTGAATGGCTGGGGGTTTTGGCGCTTGCTCATATGGGTTTACGATGTTCGGGGCTAGGCTAGGGGTTCTGAGTTTCGGCTTGGAGCTTGACCTCGCCAAGTCTTGGGACTTGGCTAAGCCTCATCGCTACTTTGGAGTAAACCCAGGAAAAAAAGGTATATATTTTGTAGGTAGAAGTAGCTAATATAGGAACCCAGAACCCAAACAAAAGAGTATACACTTTGTAGGTAGAAGTAGCTAATACAGGAACCCAGAACCCAAAAAAAGTACTAAAGTATAGTACTCCAACACCCAGTCATGCTTCTTTTTTGCACACCCACGCCTGCGATGGTGCGTGGTCATCTTAATTGCGCACAGTGCCTTCCAGCACCTCTAACGAAGACCTCTCAGGACAAGCATGTCGCTGACAAAAGGTCGGGCCATACCTTGCCCAATAGGGTTTAGGATTTTGGGTTTAGGGTTCGGGGTTTAGGGTTTAGGGCTTGGGGGGGGGGGGGGTGTAGGGCTTGTCCTATAAGGCTTGGGGGTTTGAGGTTTGGGGTTGGCTTGAAGCCCGTGCCCCCCTCACGGCTTTGGGGTGTCGAGGGCTTAGACCTTCTTCCACGGCACTTTGCTTCTTTTGTTGTCTTGCTAAATGTTAGGGTTTAGGGTTCAGGGTTTATAGGGTTTAGGATTCTCCCTGCCCCATATACTATCCTGCGTGACGACCCAGTACCTAGAGTGGAGTCTGGCAGCCCAAAACTGGTGTTTAGGATGTAGCTTCCAATGGCCCCCAGCACACCCGCTCCTAAACCCTATACCCCGAAAATCAAAAAAAAACAGAGCATCGCATGACACCTTGAGCCCTAACCAGAAGAAGCTTGAACTTGAGAAGCCCTCTCGTGTCCGGCTGGCAGGCTTGCGCTCTTGATGGCGGCCGCCGCCAACCGGAAAGTGCCCATCCTATGTGAGCACCTTGCTGGACGGGAAGCACGAGAGCATGGCATCTGTTGTTCACCGGCAGCCTGAACTCCTAGATCCTCACCAAAGGGCTCCTTCTACGGAGGAGCCTGAGGGTTTAGGGTCTAGTTATAAGTTATGTACTTGAAGGGGGAGTGCATTGTTTCAGTAACCCCCAATTCCTACCGGGTTGTCGGGAACGTCGGAATGAGCAGTTTTAGGCTATGGGGTTGCCCCTGCCCGCCGCTCCCTTCCCTTCCCCCCCCCCCACCCCCTGCCCCACAAAACAAACCAGTCCTAGATTCTGACCACGACGAGGATCTCTTCGTGCTAGATTTACGGTTGCGGGTTGTATCGAGGGCTTCGAACCGGCTTTCTACCATGACTCCCTCAAGCCGGAATGCTAGACTTAGAAAGCACCCATCGCTTGCAGTTTCAGGCTTTCAGCTTGAACTCCCAAACTCTGAACCCAAAAATAAAACTTCAGCCCAAAACCCAAAACCTGAAACCCTAAACCCTAAACCCTAAACCCCAAGCTGTGAACACTGATAGGGCATCAGAGCCAGCCCTTCTCTCGGATTCCCGGTGCCGTCCCGGAGAGAAGAGAACGCGGAAGGCCCCGATGTGTCGGATCAAGGCTTTATAGGGCTTGGACGGCTTAGGGTTTAGGGTTTAGGGTTTATCTAGTGTTTAGGGTTTAGGGTTTAGGGGTTAGGGCTTAGGACTGAGGTTGCCCCTAAGTTTAGCTGAAGGATCTACTGCAGATCTTTTTTGGGGGTAGGTGTAGGCAGAAGCTGTTTCGGGCTTTGGGAAAGCAGAAGCTGTTCCAGGCCCGTTGAAAGGAATGGGGTCGGAACCATAAGTTGAATCCTCAACATGGCCCCTCTTCTGGCACCGACTTCTGCTTAGGGTACCCCAAACCCTAAACCATACACCCTAAACCCTAAGTGACCCTAAACCCTAAACCCTTAAATCCTAAACCCTGCCTAAACCCCCCTTCTTGTTTGAGCAAGCGCACCGAAAGTGGGCTCAGAGCGCCGATTCGGTTTCAAGGTTTAGGGCAGGGTTTAGGGGCTTAGGGTTGAGGGTTGAGGGGTTGGGGTTTAGGGTTCAGGGTTCAGGGTTCAGGGTTCAGGGTTTGGGGTTTGGGGTTTGGGGTTTAGGGTTTAGGGTTTAGGGTTTAGGGTTTAGGGTTTGGGGGGGGGGGGGGGGGGGCGGTACCATGCACGGGCAGAATCTGATCTTGTTGAGTGGTGAGGCTTTCTGGGCCCCTTGAGACTGCATAGTTAGCTGCAGTACCTTCCGCGCAGGAAACCAGCTGCGGCCTCACCGGATCACCGGTGATTTAGGCACTTCAACGATAAGTGGCTGGCTGAGTAGAAATGCCCATAGCAGTAGTGGTCTGAGGTAGATCCGAAACCCTGAACCATTTGGAAGAAGGGTTTGAGGGCTGGGACTCATGCTTGCTGATAGGGACTGTTCTTAATCTAGATTTACATATTTCTTCTTGGTCCGTGTCCGGCCGGGAGGAGGGGGGGGGGGGGGGATCTCAAAGTATGTATTGTGAAATGTGGAATATCTGTGAAGGGTCCGATAATGGGAATCCACTCAGCCACTTCGATGTGAATCTGCTCCGGGATCGGCATGTGACTGAAGCGTAAACCAAAAAACGAGCGGTGACACAGAAGGTTGAGAGCATCGTAACTTCGCAAGCATCCATCCATCTTAGGGAGCTCTGAGAATACCCTATACTCGGAGGTTCCTGGTATCTAGAACCCAGTTATAACTGCACTTATCACCCACTTCTAAGCCCCTTAAGTGCCCTGACATGATTATAATCGGGTTATAAGTACAGCTATAGTTGGGGTACTAAGTACCATGAACCTCCAAGTGGTGAGCATGGCCCTGAAGCCCGATGCTGCCAACGCTTCCTTCACAATGCGTGAAGACTGCCAACTTCTGGCACGAAAATGGAAGCCACTAGGGCGCACTTAGGCTCCTAAGACGTTCGAAAGAT